CTGGAAATGGGTTCCAATAAGTATTTACACAGCAAGCAGATCGCATCTTACCATCTTGGTGTGAGTAGTAGACCTCGAGATGTCGGTACTTTCCATCTTCGACCCTTTCCTCACGCCACTCAACCATTTCTTATATTCCATGCGCACCTGAGAAACAAGACATTTGTGTGACACGCAGGGATTGGTTGAGGAGAGAGGAGTCTAAAACAGGAGGCTCCCAATCACTGGACCCGCACCTTTCTTTACTGTGCTTCATCTGGTTTTCTCTATCACCTTGGTTGTGCTTGCGATGGTGCGTTGTATTTACATTCTGCTGCCTCTGTGGCAGAAAAGGCATTGATTGACCCGTGTCAGGTGACACAAAGAGTCTCTAGAAGGTGAACGTGTCGATGATGCAGACACAGGTAATGTCATGCTGCTGATGAAGGAGATGGTGAACATGAAAATGAGGAAGTTATGGGGAGAGGATGCTGACGGTGATATGAATGATGGTAGTGATCATTGAAATGATTATAGTCCTGACGGTAATGATGAGAATAATGGCTTTGTGCTCAGAGGTCCTCCTGGTGGTGCTCGGGGGACCATGTGTGATGTCTGGGAAATCAGAGTTGGCATCATACGAAGCAAGTATCTCCACCCTTGTGCTATCTTTCCGGTATGGTTTTCAAATTCCTTCTCTGATCCCTATCCTGATATTTTGGGATGGCCTTGATTGTGGGAAGACGGCTTAGATACTGTTGAAGCCAGGAGCAGTCCCGCCTTGTACCTCTGGGTGTGGCCCAACCCTCCTTTTCTAACAAAAAAAATATGAAAATAAGCCCACTAATCTCTGGGACTCAACTGGTAAAATACAAAGGAAGAAGCCTCACCTGGCAATTGAGGACGCAATGTACCACGAAAAGCACGACTCCTTGCAGGACATTGATGATTGTGAAGATGTAGGTGAAAACCAGCCCCATTGTCTTTCCCACTGCTTCAACCATAAAAAAAACCAAGACCCCAAGAACAGCCCAAAATGAACAGTTGAGCAATAGCTTTCAATGTTATGATCCTGAAAAGGAAAAGAAGTCATCATGATTATCAGCCTGGAGTTTCACAGGGCAGACTCCATGTGGGGTACACTCTGTGAAACACTTTTCAGGCCCCCCATGGAACTTTCTGACAACCTCAAAGAATTACACAGTGTTACAGGTAAAGGAGGAGGCAGGAAACCTTCAATCATTGTTTCTGAGAATAATGGGGTTTTGGGGGGTAATTATTTGGCAAGATTCATAGTTTCTTGCCTGAGCTTATTGAAAGATGTGTGAAAAATGTCTTCTGAGAAATTTGCATAGAAACTCGTGGATGATGATGATAATGATGATATAATGATAATCTATGACTTTGGAACCTGGCAATGCTTTGTGTGAGTTTCCTCACACAAAGGTGTGTCTGGGAGAGAGGAAAAGGGTTTGGGAAGGCAACTGACTGGGAGACTTGGTGAATGTGTCCGTGTGTGAGTGTGTGCACACACACGTGTGCACATGCATGCATGTGAAGGTGTGTGTGAGCTTACATTCATCTACATAACTGAAGAGAGACAGAGAAACACCAAGGTGATCTTGCACCCAAGTGACCTTGCACCCATCAGGATTGTAGAAAATGAGTCTTGTGACAACTGGTCTGTTTAATGAAAGGCTCATTGAGTGCCTGGGGTATGTGGATACAACAAGATATTTAGAGTCAAAATATTTTCTTCTCTTCTTGATGAGATTATGGAGAAAGTTCCTCAAATACTGGTGTGCTCAGTATTTATTCTATACACCCCACTCATCTCTCGAGTGAAATATTCTCTACTGCAGTGAATCTCTGGAGTGAAATATTCTCTACTGCAGGCCTCGGGTGATGGGACAGTAGGGAGGGCATTTGTCTTGTACACAGCAGTCTGGATTTGATCCCCAGCATCCCATAGGGTCTCTCAAGCACTACCAGGAGTAATCCTGAGTGCCAAGGCAGGAGTGTCTCTGGAGCAATTTTTCCAGAGTATTTTTTGATAACCCACAATCCCTGGCTTAGGAGAGCCCGGCAAGCTACCGAGAGTATTCGATATGCCAGACACAGTAACAACAAAGTCTCCAATGGAGACGTTACTGGGCCCGCTCGAGCAAATCGATGATCAACGGGAGGGCCTTTACCTTACCTTTACCTTACCTTTTTGATAAATTCTGTACATATGATGCCAATTTTACCATATTTTCATAATTTATTTAATTTCATTTTTATATCCATTAAAATTTTTAAATTGGAGTCAAAGTGATAGTACAGTGGGCAGGGCATTTGCCTTGTACACAGCTGACCCTGGTTTAATCCCTGGCATCCCATAAGGTCCCCTGAACACTGCCAAGAGTAATTGGCAGTGCCAGGAGTAACCCCTGAGCATCTCTGAGCATGATCCAAAGAGCCAAAAAAATTTTTAAAATGATTTCTTTTCTATGATGCCAATATTATCACATTGAACCACTTTACTCTAAGGATTCAAACCTAATGCTCTGATGTCTTTTAATTTTTTTTATTTTAATGAATCATCGTGAGATACAGTTACAGAACTTACAAATTTTTGTGATTACATTTCAATCAGTGTTCGAGTACCCATCCCTCCACCAGTGCCCATTTGCTCTGATGTCTTAAACACATTTGATTCCACAACAACACCTAAAAGGGGAGGGATGGGTGGAGAGAGAGAGAGAGATTTGTTTGCTATGGAGGCAGGTTGGGGGTGGGGGGTGGTCAGGGCAGGGAAACTGGGGACATGGTGATGGAAAATGTACACTGGTGGAGGGATGGGTGTTGGAACACTGTATGGCTGAAACTAATCATGAAAAGCTTTGGAAGGGTCTATCTCACAGCGATTCAATAAAAATATATTTTTAAAAAAACATGTTTGATTCCTTGTACTCTGATCTCACCATTATAAAGAAATTCCAAATTAGTGGTACTGTTCTGGAAAGGAACAATCTTGTTAGGAACCCTATGAAGTGTGGTTGTGACAGTTCTTGTATTCCTGACATTAGAGGGAAGCCTTCATATTTCCACCATCAAGTATGATGCTCGGGGTGGGACTGTCATTTACGTTCTTTGTCGTTTTGAGGTACTTTTCTTCTATATTCATTTTGGTTTTGGGTTTTCCGTTATACACAGGGCTCGAAAATCACAAACCCTATCATTCAAACGGAACCCCAAATGTCCTCCAACAATCCCAATGGTACTACTAAGAACAAAGTACGAGGAATCCTGGTTTTTAAACCATCTCACAAAACTACCATAACTCAAATGGTATGACACAGGCACACTCGCAGAAACATGAGAATGCCTACGGTGATGTGGATGGGGTGATGATAACTGTGACTGCTTGGGAGAAGACTTTTCATCACAACACGAACCCTTCCAACCCATCCACAGTATACACATACCTTTTACATTTCAACCTTCATATGTTCCTTTATAAGAGGTTCCCAGACGTATTTGCCAACTGCCCCATTTCAGAAAATTAAATAAATCCCCCAACATCCCCCTGAAAACTACCTTCTTGTTATTATTATTATTTATTATTATTATTATTATTTGCGTGAGTCATGCCTCACTGCTCAGGGATTCCTCCTTCATCCTCACTCAGAGATCACTTATGTGAGGGCTCAGAGGACCATATGGGGTGCCAGGAATTGAACCTGGGTTGTTTTGCATGGAAAGCAAGTTTACTCCCCACTGTGCTATTGCTTCAGTCCAGAAATCTATCTTCTGTTAGTTTAAAGAAGTATCTCCCCTGCCCTCACCTGCCCTCAAGCCTATTATTGCCTCTTGGTTCGTTTTAGTGTCCCCCGGTGGGGGATGAATGGGGCATGTGTTTCTCACCCTGGAGAAACTCTATCCTACAAAATAAATCCTCGCATTTTGTAATTTTGGTGTAAATATTTTTGGGGGGTCACACCCGGCGATGCACAGGGGTTACTCCTGGCTCTGCACTCAGGAGTTACTCCTGGCGGTGCTCAGGGACGATATGGGATGCTGGGAATCGAACCTGGGTCGGTTGCGTGCAAGGCAAACGCCCTACCCGCTGTACTATCTCTCCAGCCCCGGTGTAAATATTTTGTATGTTTTTTTTTTTTAAAGAAGTTTGGGACTATATCCAGCAGTACTTAGGGGTTACTTTTGGCTCTGAGCTGAGGGATCACTCCTGGCAGTGCTTGGTAGGGGATCCTATAGGGTGCCAGGGGGACTAAACCTGGATCAGTCCCATGCAAGGCAAGCACCCTATCTGTTGTATCATCTTTCCTGCCACCCTATGTTTTTTGCATATATTTATGCATGCTTTTTTTTTCTTTCGGGCCACACCTGGCAGTGCTCAGGACTGACTGCCAGCTCCGTGTTCAGCGATCACTCCTGGGGAGGCTCTGCATTTCCAGGAATCGAACCTGGCTTCATGGAACACAAGAGCTTCCCTTCCTGTACTAACTCTCTGGCCAGATGTTATCTGCGTCTCTTCCACTGCTCCATGTGTACCCCCTTTCAGTGGCCAATTGTGCTCCCCAAGACCACAACCACAATCACCTATGCCCCATATTTTTTTTCTTTTGTTTTTGTTTGGGGGCTGCACCTGGTGATGCTCAGGGCTGACTCCTGGTTCTGCGCTCAGGGATTACTTCTGGCAGTGCTCCTGGGATGGGGGGACTCTATGAGATGTTTGGAATTGAAACTAGGTCAGCCACGTGCAAGGGCAGCACCCTACCATCCAGCCCCATATGTATGCCATCTCACAACCAAGAGTGTGACCCACATATTAAGACCACAGTGTGCCACCCCCCACAGTTAACTGTCCAACCCCGAGTCATTGCTCCATCCCCACCATCATCATCATCAAGAAGGAAGGCAAAGGGCGGGGTGGTGGGATAAAACCACAGTTAGGTGTCATTAAAGTTAGGGTTCCTCCCTGCCAGCGTCTCAGTCAACCATCCTTGTGCCCTCGCTCACCCCAAGGCAAATAGCTTGGGTGGTGCTTTGCTCATGAGGCTTCTCAGGGCCGCCTTGATGTCCTTGTTCCTGAGGCTGTAGATGAAGGGGTTCAGCATGGGGGTGACCACCGTGTACATCACCGAGGCGGTTGTGATTGAGTGTGAGCTGTGGGGAGCAGGAGCGCTCAAGTACACGCCCACGCCCGTGCCGTAGAACAAGGAGACCACGGAGAGGTGAGAGGCGCAGGTGGAAAAGGCTTTATACTTGCCCCGAGCCGAGGAGATTCGGAGGATGGAGGAGACGATCTTAGAGTAGGAGTAAAGGATGCCAGAGAGAGGACCGATGGCCAGCAGGACCGCTGCAGACTGCATCACCAAATCATTGACGAAGGTGTCCGAGCAGGCAATTTGGAGCACTTTGTTGAGTTCACAGAAGAAGTGGGGGATCTCCAAGTCTGCGCAGAAGGACAGCCTCAACGTCATTAAGCTTTGTAATAAGGAGTGCAGGCCACTCAGGGTCCAGGAGCTCAGGACCAGCAGAGCACAGAGCCGGGGGTTCATGATGACCATGTAGTGCAGGGGGTGGCAGATGGCCACGTAGCGGTCGTAGGCCATGACGGTCAGGAGGAAATCATCCAAGACGGCAAAGAATAAGACAAAGTAGATCTGCAGGATGCAGCCTTCGTAGCTGATGACGCTGCTGCCCGCCTGGAGGTTCACCAGCATCTTGGGGACGGTGCTGGAGGTGAAGCAGATGTCCACCAAGGACAGGTTGGACAGGAAGAAGTACATGGGGGTGTGGAGGTGGGGGTCGGTGATGGTGGCCAGGATGATGAGCAGGTTCCCCAAGACCGTGACCAGGTACATGGACAGGAAAAGCCCGAAGATGAGTGACTGTAATTCTGGTTTCCTTGACAATCCCAGCAGAAGGAATTCTGAAATGTGTGTCTCATTTTCTGCCTCCATGGGGCAGAGATTTGTCACTGAGACAGCAAGAAAATAGGATGAAGGACTTTTGCTTAACCAACGGGCATTACCCACTTAGATTAAATTCTTTAATTGACCCACCACAAAAGTGCTCAAGATGTTCCACCAACGCTCTTGTGTTACTTCTGGGTTAGTATCTCTTTACAACCAAACCATGAACTTTTAATTAATAAACAGTGGGAGAGAGGTACGAGGGAAATGAAGATGGGGTCAGGTGTAACATAAGGATAGTGACTAATTTATATTTCTATAAGTATTTACAAAATATATTTATATTTAGGAAGTTATTTATATTATATATAGTTATATAGTTTTTTTGAGGTCACACTTGACAGTGCTCAGGGCTTACTCGTGGCTCTGAACCCAAGAATTATCCTGGTGATACTCAGGGGGGTCCCTATGGGATTCCAGGGTGTCAAATCCAGGTTGACCAGAAGCAAGAACAGTACCCTGCCTGCCGTGCTCGAGCTCCAGCCCCATTTTCTAAATATTTTATCAGTTTTTTTATGATTATAGTTTAACTCTGGAGTGATAGCACAGCGGTAGGGCGTTTGCCTTGCACACAGCCAACATGGCCAACCCGAGTTCGATTCCTCCGCCCCTCTCAGAGAGCCTGGCAAACCACTGAGAGTATCTCGCCCATACGGCAGAGCCTGGCAAGCTCCCCGTGACGTATTCGATATGCCAGACACAGTAACAACAAAGTCTCCAATGGAGACGTTACTGGGCCCGCTCAAGCAAATCGATGATCAACGGGAGGGCCTTTACTTTTACTTTTATAGTTTAACTCTAAATTAAACTATATAGAGTTAAACTATACATTTAACAATAAACAATATAGAGTTAAACTATATATTTAATATGCGTATAATACATTATATGCATATTACTTAATTATACGCATATTACTTAAACTATACCAACAATTCAAATAAATAAATACAGTGAGAAGTATGTTCAAGAATGTATCATTTTTTAAATTTGGGGTGTTTTTTTTTTTTGCCAGAGCGATAGCATATTCAGGCACTTGCCTTGCACAAAGCGGACCTGTTTGATCCCAAGAATCTCATACTCTCTCCCGAGCACAGCCAGAAGTAATTCCTAAGTGCAGAGTCAGGAGTAACCCCTGAGCATCGCTGGTGGGTGGCCCCCAAAACAAAAAAGAACTCAGTAGAATGTAGGCTGGAAAGGTTGGAACACATGTTTGCATGTAGAGAGCGCCAAGTTTGATCCCAATACCAAGTGAGCTCTCTCCCCCCAGTATCTCCTGAGCACCCCTGGGTGTGGCCTCTAAACCCCAACAATATTGGTTGAGGATGAAGTTATATTAAGGATTGTGGTTTCAAAGTACTGGTATGAAACAGCACAGAAGGAAAACAAATGTATAGACTATAAAATAGCTTCTCTAAAGGTTAAAAGTCAGTATTTTGATGACTTTTGAAATGAACCACTGATTCAGTGTTAAATGCACAAAACTTGTGCATAAAATAAAATAACAGAGGACATTCGAAAGAGTGACAGAAGCAGAAGCATTATTAAATCATAATTCTATTTTAGATAGACATCATAATGGCGATTCAATAACTTAAGAACAGAATGAAGAGAGTGAAGAGGAACCCACTTGAACAGGATGATGTGTCCAGTCAAAATATGTAAGCACTGCTAAATCCTCCTAGAGAGAGATTCAGATGGAAAAGATGCCTACAAGAAAAACACCGAAGTGAGGAAAGGTAACTGAGAACTAAATGGGGGGGGGGGGGCTGGAGCGATAGCACAGCAGGCAAGGCGTTTGCCTTGCGTACAGCCAACCCGGGTTCGATTCCCAGTATCCCATATGGTCCCCGAGCACCGTTGAGAGTGATTCCTGAGTGTAGAGCCAGGAGTAAACCCTGGGTGTGACCCAAAAAGCAAAAAAAAAAAAAAAAAATAGAAAGAATCAAAGAAGAATCTAAGGAAAAGGAATCAGGGAGTTCCTTGGACCCAGTCTCTTTTTTTTTTTTTAATGATATTTTTGATTTTTTTTATTTTTAAATTTTACTTATTTTTAAGAGCATTACAAAGCTGTTATGATTGGATTTCAGTCATACAGTATTCCAACACCAACACCCATCCCTCCACCAGTGTACATTTCCCCGTAACCTTGGATTCAGTCTTTCTCAGGCAATTTATGATAAAGAATGCAAGAGACTCTATTCTTTAAGATAGTCAGACCGGGCCTGGGGCAATAAAGCAGCAGGTAGAACATTTGCCTTGCACGTGGCCAACCCAGGTTCGATTCCCAGCATCCCATGTGGTCCCCTGAGCATCGCCAGAAGTAATTCCTGAGTGCATCAGCCAGGAGTAACCCCTGTGCAACGCTGAGTGTGATCCAAAAAGAAAAAAAAAGAGAGATAGTAAGACCGACAACACAGTGAAATAATTGTGGAGTAGAGAATTTTAGCATCTCTCTCTTACTTATTTATTTTATTTTCCCCCTTTATTGTTTTTTATTTTTCTCTTTCCTCTCTTTTCTTTTTTCTCTCTCTTCTCTTTAGCTTCTTTCTCTTTATCCTCTCTTTTCTCTCTTTTATCTATCTCCCCTCCTTTTTTCTTTTTTTCTCTTTTCATCCCCTTTTTCTCTCTTCTCTCTTTTTCTTCTTTTTTGATTTTCTCTCTTTTCCCTTTTTACTCTCTCCTTTAGTTATAAAACAGATTTTTTCGCAAATGGACTTGTGTTGATCCGCGCCACCAAGCCTGCCCGGAGGGGGAAGGGCGTTGACCGGCCCGCCCGCTCCTCTCTGGAAAGAAAGATGGCGGCCGCACGGGAGCCTTGTGGAAAGCGGGTTTGAGCCGGGCTCGGGGAAGCGGCGGGGACCTCATGGGAAGGGGGGCTTTGTGGGCCGTCCCCCACGCCCCACCGAGGTCGCCAGCTGCCCCCCACGAGCGGCTCTCCGGCACGGCCACGACTCCAGGGCACAGAAATCAATCTCTTAACTAGCTAACTTTTAATAGAAATTCTTCCAGGGTCAATAAGTAAAATAGCAGAAATTCAAAACCGCGCGGCCGCTATCGCGGCCGCGCGACATCATTTTATTCTTAAACCAAGTTGTAGAAAGCAAATCATTTCACAACGCTGTTTCAGCATGTCTGATTGGGGGGGGGGGGTGGGTCGTAAACTCTAAACAATAATTGTGCATCTTCTATCGAAATAATCTATCTAGTCAAAGTAGATAGAGTATTAACTAGAACTCATCTGCCTCATAAGAATTGGGAGGGGTGGGAGGTGGGGGTCTATTGGGGTTCGGGGTTAAAAATGAGTATTGGTAAAGGGAAATGTGTTTGGTATCTACATGACTGAGACCTAAACCCGAAAGCTCTGTAACTTTTCCCACAGTGATTCAATAAATAAATAAATTATAAAAAAAAAAAAACAGATTTTTTCAATTTTGTTTATTGAATCACCGTGAGATATAGAAAATAGTTTTTATATGTGAATCATCAGACTGAAGGAAAATACTGTATCTTGTCTCATCATGTTGCCTGCCAAGTAATATCTTCATTTTTTAGCTAGAAAAGTTTTTATATGTGAATCACCAGAATAAAGAAAGGTTCTGTGTTTTGTCTCTTAACATTGTTTGCCAAGTAATATCTGCAAACAAGCAATTTCTTGATCTTTCTTTTCCTCTATTCATAAGCAAATTGTATAACTGAATTTTACCAATCTGAATTCAATATCTATTCTTCCAGACCAATGTGCTATTTTCTTTAACCCTGTTTATACAAAACTTATTGAATAGGTCTGACTTTTACTAAAAAAAATCAAAACTCTCATTCTTAACTCCGACTGGACTTACAAGTGTCAACAATGAAAACAACGGTGTAGCAGTCAATATTTCTTTTAAGATACATTTTCTTTGTTTTGGGGCCATACTTGGCAATGCTCACGGGTTACTCCTGGCTCTGTGCTCAGGAATTGCTCCTGGTGGAGCTCAGGGAACCTATGGGATTCTGGGAATCAAACCCTGGTCGGCCACGTGCAAGGCAAGCACCCTACCCACTGTACTATCTCTCCGGCCCCTCATTTGACTTTTTAGCATCAGAGATAAATGTTTCGGGCCAGAAAGTATAGTGGACAAAGGGCTAGAACTATGAAAAATGCCTTAATTTTTCAATGAGGCAAACAAACATAGCAATCTCTTGCAGAATAAATAAACCTTAGTCGACATTTTTTTTTTTTGGAAGATAAGTCACATGCAGCTGAAGTCACATGCAGCTGTGCTCATGGGTTACTCCTGGCTCAGATGTGACCCCTGGCTGTGCTCGGAGGACCATCTGTGGTGTCAGGGATTTTAACTGGAGTTGGTAGGAGGCGCAGCTAGTGCCTTATAGCTGGGATAGAGGGAACCATTATGACAATGATAGTTGGAAATGATCACTCTGGATAAGAACTGTGTGCTAAAAGTAAGTAAAGGAACAAACATGATAATCTCTCAGTATCTGTATTGCAAGTCAAAATGCCTAAAGGAGAGAGAGACAGAGACAGAGAGAGAGAGAGAGAGAGAGAGAGAGAGAGAGAGAGAGAGAGAGAGAAGAAAAGTGCCTACCATAAAGGCAGGCTGGGAGGGTCATGGCAGGAGGAACCTGGGGACATTGGTGGTGGGAAATGTACACTGGTGAAGGTGAAGGGACGGGTGTTGGAACTTGATATGACTAAAACCTGATTACAAACAGCTTTATAACTGTATATCTCACAGTGATTCAATTAAAAAAAAAGAAAAAAGAAAAGCTAGTATATTACCTTCTGTATTATCTCCCTGGTCCTGTTTCCATTTTTTATTTCGGCACTGCAATTGACAATCCAAGTAGCAGTAACAGAGTTTCAGAGAGATGGTGTTCTGGAAGAAAAGATGAAATCATGACGTTCACTCACTGTCCCTGGACAGAACGGATAGGTCTCGTGAGAAGTTGAATAAGTCAGAGGAAGAAAGACAAGTACCAGG